AAAGAAAAAAAAAGAAGGGAAAGTGGAGTGGGGGGGGGGGGGGCGGGGTGCTCCGACTTTGTCACCGATTGAGTACTTATCTGCGACCTTGTATCTGTGTACCTATCGACATTGATTTAGTTTACTTTGTAAACTCACCCCTCCCCCCCTCTCCACCAGCTCACGTCACCGCTTGACCCCAGCCGTCCGAGGGAAAAAAAATGACACTGGTCACATGGTCTGCGGCATGGGGTGTGACCCATGTCCATTAGCGAACGTTGGTCAGTTTCAATCTCTGTTAATCTCCCCCCCCCCAATTAATTTGTTGTACTCGTCGTAAATCTCACTGCCTTTTGTCATGCGTTACATGTCATTGTTATTTGATTTGTCATGCTAATCATCCGTCATTCAGACACACCATTTTACAATTATTTATATCGCCAAAAAAGAAAAATACCTTTGCTTTCAATAATGAAATAACATGTTTTTAATGTATTACCAAATTATTTTTGGTGGGAGGGGGGTACCTTTGAAAATGCAATTGTGTTTTGTTCCATTAAGGTTTGTTCAAGCCTTACAAGTGAACCCGTCTATTCTTGTATGGCCAAAAATAAAAGGCGCTTCTCCCTCTGGCCAAATTGACAAATATTTGGTTTCAATTGCTTCCAAGATTTCGCTTCGATTTTCTATCTGAGCGTATCTAGGGGCAGCTGGACACTCGATGTGGTGGGGGATAACTCTGCTGCCAGATGAAATATTGGCGCTTACCTCCCCTACCCCCCCGTTTTTAGACGCAGGGTCTTGTTTACTGGAGGAAGGCCCAGAGTGTAACTGTAGGGTGGTGAGTGTGTGGGTTTAGTAGAGGATGTGGGTTCCTTGGTGGACGGTGGCTCCGAGGTGCATGGTGGTGGATGGTGGCCCAGTGGTGGATGGTGGCTCCGTGGTTAATGGTGGCCCAGTGGTGGATGGTGGCCCAGTGGTGGATGGTGGCCCAGTGGTGGATGGTGGCCCAGTGGTGGATGGTGGCCCAGTGGTGGATGATGGCCCAGTGGTGGATGGTGGCCCAGTGGTGGATGGTGGCCCAGTGGTGGATGGTGGCCCAGTGGTGGATGGTGGCCCAGTGGTGGATGGTGGCCCAGTGGTGGATGATGGCTCCGTGGTTAATGGTGGCCCAGTGGTGGATGATGGCTCCGTGGTTAATGGTGGCCCAGTGGTGGATGATGGCTCCGTGGTTAATGGGTTCAGTGGTGGATGGTGGCTCCGTGGTTAATGGTGGCCCAGTGGTGGATGGTGACTCCGTGGTTAATGGTGGCTCCGTGGTGGATGGTGGCCCAGTGGTGGATGGTGGCTCCGTGGTGGATGGTGGCTTCGTGGTTAATGGTGGCCCAATGGTGGATGGTGGCTCCGTGGTGGATGGTGGCTTCGTGGTTAATGGTGGCCCAATGGTGGATGGTGGCTCCGTGGTTAATGGTGGCCCAATGGTGGATGGTGGCTCCGTGGTTAATGGTGGCCCAATGGTGGATGGTGGCTCCGTGGTTAATGGTTGCCCAGTGGTGGATGGTGGCTCCGTGGTTAATGGTGACCCAATGGTGGATGGTGGCTCCGTGGTTAATGGTGGCCCAATGGTGGATGGTGGCTCCGTGGTTAATGGTGGCCCAGTGGTGGATGGTGGCTTCGTGGTTAATGGTGACCCAGTGGTGGATGGTGGCTTCGTTGCCCAGTGGTGGGTGGCGCCCCAATGGTTAATTTAGGCTCCGTTGTTAATGGGTTAAAGGAGGCTCCGAGAGTGGCGGATGAAGGCTCGTTGAAATAGCGTATTTTGTCTTTGTTGCTGAGAGAGGCTTGGGTGTGGATGAAGTCTGATTTAAGTGGTGGATTGTGGCTCAAATAGTGTGGCTATCAGGCTGAGCAATAAGTGGCTCGTACTTTGGTGGATAGTCCTACAACGTCAACGATGTAGTTGTTTTAAGCCATGAAATGGAGTTGGGTATCAACTGGTTCACTTGCTGGCCTCTATATCTGACTGGTCTACCAAAGAGTGGGGCTTAAAGGAGATCCTTTAAGTGGCTGCTGGTGTTGTTGTGTTTTAAACGGTTAACGATAGGGCAAGGAGCAATTGGAAGTTGTCTAAGTGCTTGCTACCTACACATTTTGGTATTACTGCTACCGGCATTGTTTTTGGTATGTCTGCTACCGGAGTTGTTTTGGTATTAGTGCTAATGCAGTTGTTTCAGTATTAGTGCTACCGGAGTTGTTTTGGTATTAGTGCTACCGATGTTGTTGTTTTTTTTGTATTAGTGCTACCGGAGTTGTTTTGGTATTAGTGCTACCTGAGTTGTTTTGGTATTAGTGCTACCGATGTTTTTTTTTGTATTAGTGCTACCAGAGTTGTTTTGAGATTAGTGCTACCGCAGTTGTTTCAGTATTAGTGCTACCTGAGTTGTTTTAGGTATTAGTGCTACCTATAAAAATAAGTACCGACTGCTTGAATTCCTAACACACATAAATTGTCAGTCATTGTATTGTATGAGGAATACAACAGATTTGTGTTTAATTGAATGAAACACGGAGACAAAATTAAGACATCAGTCTCCTACTTGAATACCTCTTCACAAAAACTGGAATCAACCAATTGATAAACTGCCTAGCAGAAATGTTTGAACTCCCTTATATGTATCTCTTATTGGTATATCCGTGACATGTTACATAAGTTAGACTAAAACAGTCATGTCCAGAAATGTGTAACCAAAGAATATAGTATTTCTGTATGCTGTGGCAATGTCGTGCCTACAGGCAGCTGTTTCTCTCCACACTAGGCAACCGTCTCTCTCTCCACACTAGGCAACCGTCTCTCTAGATGCCCGCAGCTCGACAAAGTGCGCTGCTTTAATCTACTGCGTTTTAACTGGCCATAACATGCCCATTTTAAACACCGCTGGCCATAACACCATCGACCATAACACCATTTGACCATAACACCGCCGGCCATAACACCATCGGCCATAACACCGTCGGCCATGACACCATCGGCCATAACACCGCCGGCCATACACTGCCGGCCATAACACCATCGGCCATAACACCGCCGGCCATAACAACCGAATAAAATCATGGCTTTACATGGCGCTATAGTGCCTATAGTTCAGAAAACAACCGAATAAAATCATGGCTTTACATTGCGCTATAGTTCACAAAAAAACCTGAATAAAATCATGCCCTTATATAATTTGGTAAACGATTTTATAGATTATTATGGACAATTGAATTGAGAAGCAGAAACGTACTGGCATGCTGAGGGTCCCAACATCCTCCACGAAAAAAGAGTTACAAATGTATATGTAAATTTCATTTGCTGTCAGTTTTGTCCGACCCGTTCTCCCATCCTGGAGGCGATTACAGCTTTTTTACATAACGTTATGTCGAATTATCTCATTTACATACCGCATACAGTTAGTTGCTAATCATAAAGTTGTTATCAAATAATTGAATTTCATATTTTATGTTAATAAGTTCGACAGTGCGTGTGAAATATGCAGCAAATTCTCCACAAGTTTGTCAAACATGTGACTTAAACAGCGCCCACGCGTCTATCGCTGGGATGTTTTGTTTCTTCTTTGTTTCCATTCTGTTCGCTGATGTAAACTAAAGACACAAACACAACCGTAATAAGTGCGGCGCTGGTACAGTTGAAGACATGAGGTGTGTGTCGATGTACACAGAGCAGCCGAGATTTAACAGTCAAACAACAAGAGAATATAATCTAAACTCACAACCTTTATTCTCTCTTCAACTGTTGCTCTACGTGGAAGACGGGTGAAGCCATCACAGGAAGTAGATGATGGAGTAACCTCGGGTAAAGTCGCGGTATAAGAGGGTTGTACTCACATATTTCTTGTCCGTCTCATCAGGATTGCTTGCCTTAGGGGACGGGGGGAGGGGGGGGGGGGCATCCATTTATGACGTCAATTTGACTTTGGGCTACGCAGTTACGACGTCATTCTTTTACTGTGGGGGCCATTTATGGCGCCATTGATGGACTTCGGGGGGGGGGGGGTATCAATTTATGACGCCATTTTTTACTTTGGGGCCATCCATTTATGATGACCACAAAATATGGATTTTTTTAGCCCCCCCCCCCCCCCCCATCCCTGTACATTTCAACTTCTAATTTATCAAACTAATAACATACGAACATGTATCTTTCTTAATTGCAATGCTAATATTTTTAAAATTGGAAGTGTTCGTTATTCAATATTTAAAGAAGTCAAAATCTAGAATGGCAGTACATAGTGCTACTGGGGCAGTACTAGGACATTATATGGCACCACAAGGACAGTACGTGGCACCACTGGGGCAGAGCACGACACTACTGGGGCAGAGCGGGGCACTACTGGGGCAGAGCGGGGCACTACTTGGGCAGAGCACGGTACTACTGGAGCAGAGCGGGGCACCACTGGGGCAGAACACGGCACTACTAAGACGTAGCCCACACGACGCCCCACTGATCCCCCATTGATCAGGATCTGAGCACCGCTACTATTTATTATTGCCCCATTCGTCTATCTCAGACTGTCGTTAGGTGCTGGGTCCAAGTGGCAGGCAACAAATTGTAAAAACTGTTGGGTGATTATGGTCAAACCATGGGGCAGTCCAAACTCTATGATGGGAGGGGAACTGTGTCAGGGCTTAAAGACGGGAGGGGGAGCTGTAGGCGTTATGATGGGAGGGGGAGCTGTCTCTGAATTTTATAATGGAAGGGAGAGGGTGTAGGCTTTATGATGGGAGTGGGGGGATAGTCTGAGCTTTGTTTGAAGAAATGTGCTGAAGGATGGGGCCGGTTTTGAATGGGTTGGGTTGGAGGGAGGGGCGATTGTTTGTGTATCTATGCTATGTATCTTTTTACAGTGTTTGTCTTTCATTCTTGTAAATCTCTAAACCACATGCTTGAGAAAGTAGGAGATAAGAATTGCAGAGCTCCAGATTGTGACAGAGGTCAAACGTGGAGAAGTAACGTGACTTACCTTCTAGATCTAGCAGTGGCGTAACCGTTTCTTACTTGACCGTCTAGCTGGGTGTGGACACGACTTCTGAACATTCCAGTCGAAACCTGCCAGAAACATCTCCAGGTTAATGAATGGCACATTGCTTCATCGCCCGGACAAAACATTTCTTTCTTACCCGGACAAAACATTTATTTCTTCATTACCCGGACAAAACATGCAATTCTTCATTACCCGGACAAAACATTTCTTTCTTTATTACCCGGACAAAACATTTATTTCTTCATTACCCGGACAAAACATTTATTTCTTCATTACCCGGACAAAACATGCAATTCTTCATTACCCAGACAAAACATGCAATTCTTCATTACCCGGACAAAACATTTATTTCTTTATTACCCGGACAAATAATGCAATTCTTCATTACCCAGACAAAACATGCAATTCTTCATTACCCGGACAAAACATGCAATTCTTCATTACCCGGACAAAACATGCAATTCTTCATTACCCGGACAAAACATTTATTTCTTCATTACCCGGACAAAACATTTATTTCTTCATTACCCGGACAAAACATGCAATTCTTCATTACCCGGACAAAACATTTATTTCTTCATTACCCGGACAAAACATTTATTTCTTCATTAATGCGGACAAAACATTTATTTCTTTATTACCCGGACAAAACATTACTTTGTTACCCGGACAAAACATGCAATTCTTCATTACCCGGACAAAACATTTCTTTCTTCATTACTCCGGACAAAACATTTATTTCTTCATTACCCGGACAAAACATTTCTTTCTTCATTACTCCGGACAAAACATTTATTTCTTCATTACCCCTACAAAACATTGCAGGATCTTATTTTCACTATGCATGACTTTATTAGACGAACGGAGTATTTTTTCCCATTCCAGAAACAAAAGTTTCTGATTGTATGAGATTTTGAGCCATCTCAACAATGAACAAATCCTTCGATTAGGTTTGGGGTTTTCTTTGTCCTGATGTCGCGCTAGTCTTGTACTCTAGACGTTTTACACTGTGTTTTATCGTGCCTGCTTTTAGAAGGAGACGTGGAAGCTGCAACAGCTAAGTAGAGCCGTAAATACAGCTGCAGTATACGCGCGCGCGCGCACGCACACACACACACACACACACGCGCACACACTCACGCAGGCACACTCACACACTCACGCAGGCACACACTCACGCAGGCACACTCACGCGGTTTTATAAAATAGCTGAGGCATATTGAAATCTTGTACAAGAGCTATTGATTGCTGGCTGCGGCATATTGAAATCTTGTACAAGAGCTATTGATTGCTGGCTGCGGCATATTGAAATCTTGTACAAGAGCTATTGATTGCTGGCTGCGGGCGCCTGGGGCAAGACAAAATTTCAGCGCCCCACCCCACCCGTTTCCGGTATTACTTTGATATTTCATGCCCCACCCCCGGTACCAAAACGTCAAGAAAGTCGAGTCGTCAATCAACGATTTTGAACGCACTAAAATAACTTCCATCACAATTTTAGTTCAACAGACAACTTTGCTTTTCATCGAGTTCTTGTAAAAAATGGAATCTAAATTGAATCCAAAAAGGTATAAATAACTTTTAATAGAAGATTTCTCTGGGCTTCGGAATATCTTTGCCTTCCAGCAGACTTCTGGTGGGTTATTTAAGGACGGTGGAGTTCAAGTTTATTTAGACATGTGCTCTGGTTCTAGAACATATTCCTTCATGATGTAAGATCTATTCTGTAAGGGCTCTAGACCATATCCCTACATTATGTAAGATCTATTCTGTAAGGGTTCAAGAACATATCCCTTCCTGATGTAAGATATATTTTAAGGGTTCTAGACCATATCCCTACATCATGTAAGATCTATTCTGTAAGGGCTCTAGACCATATCCCTACATTATGTTAGATCTATTCTGTAATGGTTCAAGAACATATCCCTTCCTGATGTAAGCGATTATGTAAGGGTTCTAGATCTAGACCATATCCATACATGATATAAGTTCTATTCTGTGGGGTTCTAGAACGTATCCCTACATAATGTAAGATCTATTCTGTAAGCGATTTAGAACATATCCCTACACTATGTAAGATCTATTCTGTAAGGGTTCTAGACCATATCCCTACATGATGTAAGATACATTCTGTAAGGGTTCTAGACCATATCCCTACATGATGTAAGATACATTCTGTAAGGGTTCTAGACCATATCCCTACATAATGTAAGATCAATTCTGTAAGGGTTCTAGACCATATCCCTACATCATGTAAGATACATTCTGTAAGGGTTCTAGACCATATCCCTACATAATGTAAGATCAATTCTGTAAGGGTTCTAGACCATATCCCTACATCATGTAAGATCAATTCTGTAAGGGTTCTAGACCATATCCCTACATCATGTAAGATCAATTCTGTAAGGGTTCTAGACCATATCCCTACATCATGTAAGATCAATTCTGTAAGGGTTCTAGAACAAATCCCTACATCATGTAAGGTGCCCGCAAGTGTTCTAGAACATACTCCTTCATCTGTCTGTAAGGGTTCTAGAACAAATCCCAACATTGTTTTTAAAAGCAAACATTGTATTGTTTCTATCTTCTCTCCCTCTCGCTCTCTCTCTCCCTCTCGCTCTCTCTCTCCCTCTCTCTCTCCCTCTCTCTCCCTCTCTCTGTCCCTCTCTTTTTCTCTGCCTCTCCCCTCTCTCTCTCTCTTTCTCTGCCTATCCCCCCTCTCTCTCTTTCTCTCCCTCCCTCTCTCTCTATCTCTCCCTCACTCTCTATCTCTCCCTCCCTCTCTCCCTCCCTCTCTCTCTCTCCCTCTCTCTCTCTCTTTCTCTCCCTCCCTCTCTCTCTCTCTCTCTGCCTCCCTCTCTCTCTCTCTCTCTGCCTCCCTCTCTCTCTCTCTCTCTGCCTCCCCCCTCTCTTGTGACGTGTATTTTAACAATAGTAACATGATATAATTGAGATAAAGACGGTTAAAACACCCCACCCCATTTTCCACGGGTACCTACTTTGCACCCCCACCCCATGGTGAATGTTTATAAGCACTGGAGCATCGCGATATAAAGCATGTTTATTGTCCTTAGAGCTGGGGTTTTATCAGAGCTAAACCAAGTATTATGTGAGCTCAGCTATGTAGTGTGTATGATGGATGTAGTCAAACGTGTCTGACATGGTCTCTAGTTAGTGTGTTAAAACATTAGTAAGCAATGCTATGTTAGGACATGTATTAGATATGCTAGGACATGTATGAGCTATGCTAGGACTTGTATTAGATATGCTAGGATATGTATGAACTATGCTAGGACATGAATTAGATATGCTAGGACATGAATTAGATATGCTAGGACATGTATTAGATATGCCAGGACATGTATGTATTATGCTATGACATGTATGAGCTATGCCAGGACATGTATGAACTATGCTATGACTTGAATGAGTCATGCTCGGACTATAATGAGTTATCCTAAGTCCTGTATGAGCTAGACTAGGACCTGTAAAAATTTTATGAACTATGCTAGGACATGTATGACCTATGCTAGGATCTGTAGAGTAGGATATGTATGGGTTATGCTAGGACCTGTCAAGAATTGTATAACCTATGCTAGGAACTGTATGCGCTATGCTAGGGCTTGTCAAGAATTGTGTGAGCTATGCTAGGGCCTGTCAAGAATAGTGTGAGCTATGCTAGGACCTGTCAAGAATAGTGTGAGCTATGCTAGGACCTGTCAAGAATTGTGTGAGCTATGCTAGGACCTGCCAAGAATAGTGTGAGCTATGCAAGGACCTGTCAAGAATAGTGTGAGCTATGCTAGGACCTGTCAATAATAGTGTGAGCTATGCTAGGACCTGTCAAGAATAGTGTGAGCTATGCTAGGACCTGTCAAGAATAGTGTGAGCTATGCTAGGACCTGTCAAGAATAGTGTGAGCTATGCTAGGACTTGTCAAGAATAGTGTGAGCTATGCTAGGACTTGTCCATAATCGTATGAGCTATGCTAGGACCTGTCAAGAATTGTGTGAGCTATGCTAGGTCCTGTCAAGAATAGTGTGAGCTATGCAAGGACCTGTCAAGAATAGTGTGAGCTATGCTAGGACCTGTCAAGAATTGTGTGAGCTATGCAAGGACCTGTCAAGAATAGTGTGAGCTATGCTAGGACCTGTCAAGAATTGTGTGAGCTATGCTAGGACCTGCCAAGAATAGTGTGAGCTATGCTAGGACCTGTCAAGAATTGTGTGAGCTATGCTAGGACCTGTCAAGAATTGTGTGAGCTATGCTAGGACCTGTCAAGAATTGTGTGAGCTATGCTAGGACCAGTTATCTGTCCGAGGTGAGTAGAGCCATTAATGTGCTATCACCAACGAAACAAGTGCGATGCGCGACTACACCGCTAGCCTATGACCCAACTACACACCCAAGTCCCAACATCGACTGGCACTTACCTCGCCTGGAACCACTTCCGCTAGCCGAGAAATCAGAGCACGTCTTCAATGGTGGCACAGTACAGCTAGGTTGTTGGTCTCTGTGTCATGTGACCAGCTAAGCTTTGACGCCCAACTAAACCTTATGACAGAAAGCTGGTTTGGTCCGTCTCTGCCTTCTTGAGAGCAACTCCGTGTAATGGCACCACACCAGCCCCCTCCCTCCCTCCCTCGCTGCTGCTGCTGCCCGTGTGTCCTCCACGCCATTGGTCATCGACAACAGTGGCACTTCATTGATTGGTTTATTCAGCACAGGCCAAATTTGATTCAATCACAGACATGTACACATCGTGTTGTCAATGTGTGAGCCCGCTGGATCAAAGATCGATACCATCGGTTATCGTGTCAGTTGTCGTGTCAGTTGTTTAGTTAGTTGTCGTGTCAGTTGTCGTGTCAGTTGTGTCAGTTGTTTAGTCAGTTGTTTAGTCAGTTGTTGTGTTAGTTGTCGTGTCAGTTGTTTAGTTAGTTGTCGTGTCAGGTGTGTCAGTTGTCTTGTTAGTTGTCCTGCCAGTTGTCGTGTCAGTTGTCCTGCCATTTGTCGTGTCAGCTGTCGTGTCAGGCGTGTCAGTTGTCGTGTCAGTTGTCGTGTCAGTTGTTTAGTTAGTTGTCGTGTCAGCTGTCGTGTCAGTTGTTGAGTTAGTTGTCGTGTTAGTTGAGGCAGGCATCCATCGGCTGATACTGACACCATTGTCTGAAGTCGTTCATGTTAGTTAACATTTGATCGATAGCTGCCCTTGTTGTGTTCCAGCACATTCGTCATCTAATCTGTATAATACTGTGTGCAGTGGCTTGTTTTTGTCCAAGAGGTCACTACATATGGATGTATGTGTTTGTGTGATTGATTAATCGATTCATTCATTGGAAGATAGAGATAAAGAGTTGTATATATATATATATATATATATATATATATATATATATATATATATATATATATATATATATATATATATATATATATATATATGTGTGTATACTTCTTATAAAGTAAATATTAATCACAACATATTATTAAAAGCGCTGTCATTATTTCTTTAGACTGACTTTAGCTACAGTGATAACGATATATATATATATATATATATATATATATATATATATATATATATATATATGGTTAACCAACAATGTATGGTCTCTGTCATGTACATGAATAACGTGAGCAAGCAGTTACACTTCTTCCTGTGCAGTGTTTCTTTCAGACTTTTTTATCCGGGGGGGGGGGGCGGACACTGGTAAAAGTATATATTTTCTATATAAATTCTATGTACTATAACTGGACAAAGATGGTATAAAACGTTATTGCACACAATCAAACCTACTACACGCGGAAGTGCTTACTTCCGCCAACCATAGAGGAAATAAACAACGTGCGTATTTAATCTCAACGGGGTTCTATATTTAGCTTGTTTCTATATCCACACGTATTTTTAGAATTTTTGGACAAAAGTTTGTTTTATTGCATATATTGTTATTTTTGAGAATGTTTCGAAGGCTGCTTGACAGCATCGATATTAGGGCGGCTGTCAAGAAGGTATCGGGTTCGGAACCGACTAAAATTATTGTGGTTTTATTTTTTTTATATAGTCCAAATGACTAACTAAATAGCTATAAAGAGAAGCGTGGGTCACTTTAGTCACTTGGATACCTTTACTAATATTTAAGAAGAGACACACGCTTTTCTTTATAGTTATTTAAATAGTAGTGTATAATTTATTTTCTTCTTTTTAGTGCATTATTACATACAAGCTTGAGACAAAATTTTAATTAATTCATAAAAAATTAATCAGGCAACCATAAAGTCAAATGTAATGTCATGTTGCATTGTCTTCATGTCTTGACCCATGTGCCAACGGTGAAACAAATCTATGAGTTTAGTGTCCAAAATTTCGCTCGGGCGTTTCGATCTACACTGCCGATTGACGACAGACTGACGAGGAAGTAAGTTCATTAAAAGCTTGTAAAAACGTTTTAATAACAAGCTTATATGTAATAATGCACTAAAAAGGAGAAAATAAATTATTCACTACTATTTAAATAACTTTAAAGAAAAGCGTGGGTCTCTTCCTAAATATTAGTAAAAGTATCCAATAGATACTAAAGTGACCCACGCTTTTCTTTATAGTTATTTAAATAGTAGTGTATAAATTATTTTTTTACTTTTTAGTGCATTATTACATACGAGCCGACCCGCGGCGTATCATACGCCGCTATTTAGTTGTTTTATTTTCTACTTTTCAGTAATTCATAATTTGTGAATTCGACAGTACCAATGCTGCCACTGAAAATATTTGCTTTAAAACACTAACCTCCCCCTCCCCCCCAACCCCTTACCCCCCCCCCCGTGAAAGCAGCCTCCTCTTAGTTACCTCCTATAAGTTTAAAATAGTTTCAAACTAAATTATCTGCCCCTAATAGTCGTCACTAAACCCGGCTCTACGATTTGTAAACATTTAGCGTGAACCACAGCTCACCAGACCATGTGGGGGTGGAGTGGGGGTGATAGTGATAGAGAGGAAGAGAGGAGACTACAAGGCGCGCTTGCAGCTTGTTTACTAACGTCTCCCAGAAGAGAATTATATATATAGAAAAGCTTGTTATCAAAATGTTTTTTTTTATGAAATTTTATTTAGTACTTTACTTGTTTTATTTACACTATAGTTGCATGACTAAAAACCAATGCGCACCTATTGAACGTAATGACGCGTGTCTAATAGTGCGGAATAGTTTGATGAGACAGCCTACTAATTTGGACAAAATTTTAATTAATTCATAAAAAATTAATCAGGCAACCAATTAAGTCAAATTTAATGTCATGTTGCATTGTCTTCATGTCTTGACACAGGTACCAACTACGAACCGTATCTGTCAGTTAGAAGTGCCTGCAATTTCGCTCGGGCTTCGATCTAGACAAACAGACTGACGACTTGACTGACGACAGACTGACGAAGAAGTGAGTTAAATAAAAGCTTGTAAAAATGCAGTTATTATGATGTATTGCAATTTAAAAGAAAAATGCAGCATGTGATTGTAATCCCCTTGGCCATATACTTTAACTTGTGTGTAATAGTAACAATTAATTGTTCCCTATTTGTCGCTATAGTGTAAATTGGTCATCTCGAATATTGTGATCTAAAATGTCTACCACTTGTCCCGGACTGCCTATATCTGAATGTCCTCTCCTATACGGGGTCAGCCGATACATATCAATGAGACGCCACGTTTACTCCGGCCATCCATTCACCCATTGCTCTCCTTTATTCGCTGCTGTCTGTGTGGGAATCAGCCTTGTTCCACCCGTACACACAATTCCTCTCCTTATTTCCGTTGTCTGTGGGAACTGTGAGAATTGGATTGCGCCAAAAACTCCGTTCTTGTTTTATCTGTGTGTCCATCACGTCAGTCGTCGCTTGTATGTGTTGTTTGACCTCAGCTGACCCCACGCGTTGACACGTGCATCGAGATGTTGGGTGGAATAGCCCTGGCCTCCACAGGACGTCATTAATACAGGGGGTCACAGGACGTCATTAATACAGGGGTGCACAGGACGTCAAGGTTTATACAGATTACTGGATGTCATTAATACAGGGGGTCACAGGACGTCATTAATACAGGGGTGCACAGGACGTCAAGGTTTATATAGATTACAGGACGTCATTAATACAAGGGTGCACAGGACGTCAAGGTTTATACAGATTACTGGATGTCATTAATGCAGGGGTGCACAGGACGTCAAGGTTTATATAGATTACAGGACGTCATTAATACAAGGGTGCACAGGACGTCAAAGTTTATACAGATTAAAAGGACGTCTTTAATACAGGGGGTCTATAGGACGTCAAGGTTTATACAGATTACAGGACGTCATTAATACAGGGGTGCACAGGACGTCATGGTTTATACAGATTACAGGACGTCATTAATACAGGGGTGCACAGGACGTCAAGGTTTATACAGATTAGAGGACGTCATTAATACAGGGGTGCACAGGACGTCATGGTTTATACAGATTACAGGACGTCATTAATACAGGGGTGCACAGGACGTCAAGGTTTATACAGATTAAAGGACGTCATTAATATCGAAGGTGTACGGGACGTCAGGGTTGAACGAAATATGGGTCGAAAGTTGTGAAATTTTACCCACTTCTAATGAACCGATTTTTTTTTAAAAATTGACTCGTAGATCAAGATTCTATTACATTGCAATCTGACATACGTTTTGTGATAATTAAATATTAATTAATTTTTTTTTATTTTAATGTCAGTATCATGACAAAATGTAATAAGTGCACTAAAAGATAAAAAATAATATTGTTTAAGAATACTCTTATTAAATTGGTTTGAACTACCACGCTTTTCTTTATATTCATATTAACTCATATAAATCATTTTCTTTTCTTGTCAGTGCATACCTAAGTAAACATATGTTATGATAAACTTTTTTTGAGCAATTTGACTTCTCTTTTGTCAGTAATTGCTGGCCTGAATGGTAAATACATGACTACTATATTTAAAAAAAAAAGTTTATTAAGTAAGAGAACGACGTTAAGATATATCTCGAGAAAATTCTGTCAATACTTCAGTATCGGACCCCTCACCCCATGCTGTGTGGGGTCATCTATACATGACACCCTCACACTATCTTAAACATCAGCTGTAGAAAAAATAGTTCTAGACTACTTCTAAAGCAAGTTCCATCTCGACATATTTTTCTTCTAGTTTTCGTTCGATATTTTATTTTTGTATTTACACGAGTAAAATCTACCGCTGGGGGGTGCGTGGGTTTTTTTATTCTGGGAGTGTGAGCAAAAGGTTTCTCTGACGCGCTTGTCACTCGGCTAGATAGATTAGATTAGATTGGATTAGATAAGATAGATCGGCCATAGATAGAGATGATAGATGGATTGATGGCTGGCTGGATGGATCACTTTGTGGTCGCGTGCCCTGGATATGATCATTTGATTGCTTAATGCATTGGGTAATTAGTCTTTGGAGATGGGGGCTGGTATGTGTTGGCTATCCCTTGCCTGGAAACGTTGCTGTCGCTTGTTGGGTTGGGTACAGGGTTGTTTTTTAATAGTGATCCCAACACACGAGTCTTGCCATGCAATCAT